CAGGGGGCGGCCACCCCTCCCCATGATCCCCCACAAGAATTGAGCAGGGCAGCAGCTGTGGCTGCCAGCCCTTCGGTCTGCACACAGTCTGTAACCAAAGTCGGTAAACACCGGCCCTTGTTCAGGGCAGGGCGACAATAACCCCCAAGAGTGTCCTCTGGCCCAACCGTGGGGGTCCGACAGATGCAGGCTGCTGAATGGGAACAAACAAGGGGAGAGAATCTCACTACCCAAGAATAGGGTGGCGGGGGGGACGACGCAGACCCACCCACTCCACTGCATCCCAGCCAAGGGCCCTAACAGCAGCAGAGCAGTCGACTGCTGGGTCAGCGGAGATCTGTCCACAGACCACACTTTGAAAACAACTGCAATAAAGGGATTCTGCTTCTGGTGAACTAAGGAAAGTAAGCACTATTTAGGTGAATGCTCACTTTTGAAATCCAAGGGCAACTGATACCAGAAATGAACTACAAGGTTAGACCAGAATTTTGTCACGCTTACCAGCCAAATATTACTGTTACTAAAACCTCTCCTAAATGGCACTTCTCACAGGCTCTTGAACATCAACCTACTGCCTGACTCACCTGGCCTAACAATTGATCTGATGAGTGCATACACACCATCAGTTCAGATCGTAAGCACCATTTTTTTTAGGGCTATTAAATATGGGTGTGTGGGGGGGGGGAGGTATCCACAGCAGAAACGAGGGGCATAGTTTAGACTCTCTTAAGTCCAGTAAAGCAACAAAAATAATTAAAGCCTAAATCCCCTTTATCAAAAGACTAAATACTTGTGTACAGGGTAGAGTTAATGTACGTTAGATACTGCTTTAACTTTTAGATATTATTTTTTAAAAGAGAATTTAGTGCTTCTAAAACTAACAAAACTAGCAACATTGACTATAGCCACATGATGCTCCTCAATTCCCACTTTGTGCAGGGTCACAAAGGGGGTATGTGTGCCAGAGAGGATTCTGGGCTGGGGGAAGGGTATAGGAGAAGCTTGAGAGTCTGGGAGGGAGTTGTGACCTGGGGGAAAGGCATACAGAGGATTTGGATGGTGGCCTGGGGCAGGTAGTTGGGGGGGAGTGGATGGGGGTGCCAGAGGCAGGCTCTGCCTGGGAGATGCTTACCTAGGCAGCACTCAGTAAGCAATCCTGCAGGAACCTGAAGGCTGCAGTTGCACGCTGCTCCATGTGGCTTTACTCAGGGTAGGGTGGAAGGGGGGGAGGGAGGAAGCTTCATTGGCTGCCCCTTCTGCCAGCAAAATATCTCAGCTGCTACTGGTCAGAAACTGGCCAATGGGAGCTAAGAGATTTTGCTGAGGGGTGGGACAGCACAAAGCCTCCCTCCTCACTCCCAGAATAGAGCAGCCACATTTAAAGGGGCTGCCGCTGTGGTTAAGGGTCCCAGCGAGGCAGCCGTGGGCTCAATCCAGCCTACTGGCAGCTTCTTGTCCACCCCTGTGCTAAATAGTAAGAGGCTGAGCTAGAACCACCAAATTCAGTATACAGCTTCCTCTTATCATAACAAAGTAAGGCAAGGTCTTGATGGTGTCACAAAAATGGGATATGCCTGGAAGGGGATTGCTTCTCACAAAACCCATACTGAAAAGAGTCAGCATCACCAGGCAGGTGAAAGTCTGGCTGGGCGCGCAACCATCCCCATATGAGACTGCCTCCTCCTTGAGCTTCCCACCCCACAGGCATCCTTTGGGGTGGGGGCTGAAACTTCACTCCCTTCCTCCCACTGATTCATATGGGAACATTGCAAGCTGTTCCCCTTCATCGGGGAGCGAGGGGAAAATGCACAATTTGCTGCATTCCTCACTCTGGCTGGGGAGCACAGAGGACATTTGACCCTGGACCTGTTCCAGCTGGGGGACATGCAGCCCTCCCTCTGCTGTGCCTGCTGGAATTGCAGCAGTCATGGAGAGGTGTTTCTCACCTGGGCCCAAGCTGTTGCGGTGAGAGACTGCTCAGGTAGTTGTCGTCCAAGGACAACCTGCATACTCAACCCCTCATTCCCAGGCCCACCCCAGAGTATTGATTTAAATGAAGAAAAACAATAATTGATTAAGGGCCCGAGCCATGCCAGGTAAATCTTTTAGTATAATATAAAACACCAGTTTCAAAATACAGTAGCAAATTTAGCACAAATATCAAAAGACATTGACTTTCTAGTGGGAAAGGAATGCCTGTGAAGTAGGGATGTGAATGTTTTACAAGTTAAGGTTAACTAGTGAAGGCTGGTGCAGGCCGGAGCGCTCTACAGTCAAGAGCTGCTGAGGCTGGGATGCCAGAGGAGCTCCTGCCTGCCAGGTGCCCAGCGTGACCAGTGCAGCTGCTATCTGTTGCGGTGGAGAGGAACCACCGCCCAGTGGTGGAGCGACTATCCTGCCTGCCTCCACTTTAATCAGTTAAACAAAATGTTTAATAACAGTTATTAATAACATTATAATAATTATAATTTTAATATTATTGTAATTAATGATCAGTTAAACAGTATTTTACATCCCATTATAAAGAAAGGTTTACAAAATATCAGGTTGGGACCAAATCAGGTTGGGACTAAAATACTGTAAAGCTTTGAAAGGAATATGCTCATAGGAGAATACCTGGTAGGGTTAGACCATGCTTGCCAAAGAGATGATGAAATTAAATTTGCTATTAGAACAGCATATTATCAGGGGACAAAGTACTTGTCTTCACTGAAAGGATCTGAATGATACAGTGGGAAAAAAATTATTGTAGCAATATGCCCTTCTGCTTGCAGTGGGGAAACTCCTTACAATTCTCAGTGCCTTTGTCTCCAGATTAAGGTTTGCGGTTGCAAAATCACGCTAAATAGAAATTCAGTTCATGTAGAGGCATCATCTAATGGTATTTTGTCCCTTCCTATGAGCATGGTTCCCTCAAATCTCTTAGACTTTGTAAGTTATTTCCCATGGCTACCTCTACACTGCAACGCTATTTCAGGATACTGGAGTATCCTGAAATAGCTATCCCGCATCTTAACAGCAAGCCCATTATTTCAGGCTCACTATTCCGATGTCCCTGTAAACTTAATTCTGCAAGGAGTAAGGGACATTTTGGAACAATGGGTTATTTTGAAATTTGGTGCTGTGTAGACAGTGCCAAATTACAAAATAAGTTATTTTGAAATAAGATATGCAATTTGAGCTATGCAAATTGTGTATCTTATTTTGAGCTATGGTGCAGTGTAGACACACTAAAACTGACTTGGGAATTGTTGCATACTCAGTATCTTCGAAATGTGGCTACAAGTCCTTTGCTAGCTTTAAATATGGAACCAAGACTTGAATGTATCAGGTAACCACATAACAGTTGTGTAGTAAGTAATAAATAATAATGTCATTAATATTATTTTCTTTTGAATCAGATTATAGTGTTTGTTTTGGAATCACCATTCTGATCCTTGAGGTCTACATCCTACAGAGGTACAAAAATGCTGAATTAGTAAAACTTGTGCAGGTTAATTTAATGCATGCATGATGAATTCTGAGTCTACGGGGGAGAAATGAAATAGGTCTCTTACCTAAGGGACTGATTTGAGTGCTCTGAGATGTTCTTGAGAAGAGCGAAATCATAGCCTGTCCCATAGTGTCTGTTCCCTTTTGACAAGGAGACTGGCAGCTGTTTTCACTCCCCTGAATATCAGACAGCACAAACCTGAAGGACTGAAAACTCCAATAAAGGAATGGATGTGGCAGGAAAGGCTTGTTGAAGTTTTAACTAGGTGGTACCATTTTCAACTCCTGTTTCTACATTAGCAACCTGCTCATTTAAAGTAAAGTAGTGAAGGTAGGGTGGTCCTGCAGCCTGAATCAATGAAATCAGCAACAATCCTGTGTTACCAAAAGTGCCTAATTAGTATTTCTTTGGTGGCAGGGTGACAAGTGAGATAAGTCAGGTATAAATGGTATATGTAACAGGAAGAGGAATATCTTGCTATTTCTTAGTTTTAACTCTTGCCAATCTTTGGTTTGTATCAAAGTTTTAATACTATTTTAGAATAATGTTATCTAACAAAAGATTAAAACATACATCTAAAATGTACAGATACAGACATTCGGAAATGCAATATTCATTTTGTCTTGCAAAATAAAATTTAAAAAAAAAATTCTTTCAGTGAATGTTTAACTGATTTCTTGGGATAAACTTGGTCTGAAAAGCAATCCCAATACTGCAACTAGCCATTTTTGATCAAGTTCATTGGTAGTATCTTTACTTCCTTCACCATTGGTGATTTCTGCAGGCATCTGGGTTTTACAGTGAGATATGTGTAACAGCAAAGAAACAGGATTTGGTCTCCTGTCACACTGGTGTAAATCAAGAATGACTCCACTGAAGTAGGACCATGCACAGGAATTTAAATTTAACCTCTTTTGGAAGGGTACAGAAGCTTGCTCTCCCTAACCCTGGCCCCAGGAGGAACTTGTTCCCCCCCCCCCTCCACAGCCCTGGGAGGAGCTTGCTGACCCCACCTTCCTACCAAGTCCCTGGGGAGAGAAAACTCCCACAACTCCAGATCTGCAATGGGTAGAGAGAACTCCCCCAGCTATGGTGCTGCACCTTTCTCCCAATTGCAGTCCCAGGGCACAGGAAGTACTGTGTTCCTCACTGATTATTGGGGAGAGTACATGCCCCTATTTGCTCCCCCTTGAGTACGCACCTGAAAGTCAGTGGAGATAACAGAGTAAAGAAATTTGAGAGAGAATCAGGGGAGCATCACAGGCCTGATTTCTCCTAACAGGCAATATAGTTAAAAATTTAATTCAAGAATCATGAAATGTCCGACTGAGATGCCAGGACCAAGATGAAGGCTGAGAAAATCTACACCATTGTTAAAAAGAGTTAATGTATTTGACTTATCTATGATATAACTACTATGGTTGATTGCCACTTCTGTTCTTTGACCATTCACACATACTTCTGGCTGTTTTGGACCTAGCAGGAACATGCCTGTTATAAATATATGGAGATATACCTATCTCATAGCACTGGAAGGGACTTTGAGACGTCATCAAGTCCAGTCCCCTGTCCTCACCACAGGACCATCTCTGACAGATTTACCCCAGATTCCTAAATAGCCCCCCTCAAGGATTAAACTCACAATGCTGGGTTTAGCAGGTCAATGCTCAAATCACAGAGTGATCCCTCCCATCTAGGAAAGATGCACTGGTGTTATGAAGATAGGGTAGGAAGATAAACTCAAGATGAACAATATGTGGCTGCTAAACTTAAGTGTCATTTTAACTTTGCAATATATTTTATGTAGTTAGTTCTGTGTGTCAAGTGAAGTGACAAAATACTTTGCTGTTAGCTATGCTATAGACGACAAAGTTGTTTAGACTGGTCCTGCAACACAGTGGACAAAATAAAGATTTCTTGAAAGAGTCACTCACTCAGAAGAAGTTTAAAGAATTGTTCTCTCGATTCTTCTCCTATCTTTCCAGAAATGGCTTTGGTGCTTACTCTTGCGGATACAGTTTCATAGGTGCTCAAGGTGATCTACTGTATTCTGAGGTATAGGCTCCTTTACTGAAGGAATTTGTACTGTTGTATTAACTGCCTTAGCTACTCAGTATGTATGTATTCAAGCCTTCATTCCACTTCTAATTTTATGTATTCTAAAGCAAAATTAGTTTCCACATCTTATTAATGGACTATTTCTAACTGCTCTTAAATGAAGGGACCTGAGCATTTTAATGGCAAAACTCCCAGTCGCCTCGGCAATACTATGATAAAAATGCTGCTAGTTATACTTATAAGTGGTATAATTAGTTGAATAATTTTATGTTGTTATTCTCTTTTATAATTAGTTGCATGTTCTCTACATTAGTGGGTGGATTGCTAGACATCTAAAATGGAAAAGAATAATAAAAAAACTAGGAAAATATTAGCCTAATTTTGAAATTAGTGTGTTGGATTAAAATGGGAGAAGCGTGTTTGCTGCACCTTCAGAGTACTTCTAGTCATACTGTCAAAAGAAGTATTACTACTCCTTTCATTTATCAAATTAAAACACTGGCAAACATTGCTATAATGATAAGAAGGGGTCTCTCTCACACTTGTTTTTTTACACAGGCCAAAATTATCCCAAATTTTATTATCTGTTTGTGATGCGGTCAGTGAGTACTGTGATTTCAGTAGGTATTTTTAAATTTTCTTTAGGTAAGAAATTAAACCCTTTCTCTTTCATAGAATTAACTTTACACATTTTCCTGAAATACTGATCTGACAATTTAAAAGGTATAACTATCTACATTAATTAAAGGGCACGATCAAGCAGTTAGGCCCAACATTTAGATTTTGTTTAAGTGAAACCTAAACAAACAAAAAAATCTCATGCATTCCTTTAAAATGTAAATGAAATGTTTATTTAAATATTCTACAAAAGCCCAAACAGGGCAGCATAGTGTTAGTATACATGAAGAAATCTTATAATTACAAGTAACAATGAAGAATCTATTTTTGCTGTGGAAGATGAGTGTAGTGAAAATAATTCAGTAGCATTGATGAAAGAATTAGATTTCTTAAACGTTCAGTTTTAATCCAAGATGGTGGGCAATACATGTAAATTATTTTATTTTTTACAAATGCCAGAAATGTGTCATTTATTTGCACTGCTTCCAGTTGGAGTCTGGCTTTTGTAACAAAGTATTTTATAGGGTGGATGAAACTGAAAGAAACTATGAATGACCATACATGTAGAGTAAATACTCTCCTACAAATGTAATTTCTTTTCATTGTTCTCCTCTTATCCTAATTATGTTTTAGTGTTCTTTTTCATGACAATGTGGTCTGGCTTGCCAGTACGGTTTCTCCAGACTTGATTCTGAACAGATTAAAACTAGAATATGTTATTAGTTAATCTCCTGATGCAGTTGTGTGTGTCCTCTATGCAAAGCACTGAATATTCTGCCACAGTTCTCACAGCAAAATTCCTGCCTGGAAAGTTCTGACAAGGTCACTCTTCCGTAGAAAGGGAGTGAAGAAATTACTAATCTTTCTAACAATCACACTGAGGAGAACTGAACATCAGGGAGCTCTTGAATGGAAACTGCAGGGCTTTGGTATCCTTATAAGTTCGCTCTGTGTCAGTGCTTTTCAGTGCTTTCAAGAGTTTTTACACAGATTTTTTCAAATATTCTTCCTTATTATCACAAAACAGTCAGCAGGCAAGGACCTGAAAGGTTTGGTGCCATTTTGAGTGCAGTTCTTGCAATTGGCATCAGCTGGAAAAGTTGCTATGGAAACCACTATGGAACAGGAGAAGGAAGGAGCTGGACTTGCCTTTGTAATGCATAAAGCTCCAGTTTCAAAGAAGAAAGTGACTCAGACTGCAAATCTGAATAGGATAGATTTCCTGCTCCTAAAAAAGGGGAAGATAATCAGAAACTTAAGAATGAAAATATACAGTGCCTTTTTCAGCAGTGCGATCAAATGGCTTTGCATCATGCAAATTAATTTTACAATCAGGCAGCTATTAAACTGCACCATAAACTTGCCTTCTAACTCGTGTCTCTTTACAAATTGAGAGGTATTTATAGGCAAGATCTAATTAGTCACACATACTCTCAATTTCTTAATTCTTGCTGACATCTGCAGTCTAGCAGTATTTCCTAAGGAAACACAAGTGTGTGCTGGCATGGGGAGCAGAAGAGCTGAAATCTAATACCACTGTGCAATATGCATTTTCTGATACTATACTTTTTAAAACCAGCAGCATTTTCAGAACTAGGGTCAATTTAGTATGGAAAGACCCTCTGTCACCTTCATATTCTGGCAGCATTCTGATCTACTTTGTTGGAAAATGGTGCCTTGTATAAAGCGAAATGAGTTAGCTTTTCCCTGCAGAGAACAGTAATGTAGGAATCTAATAATGCTTAGAGCCCATTTACTGTCAGATTGAGTGAAGAACTGAATATGAAAAGCTGAAACTATGTAAGAAATTAATGTGTTGTTGTTGTTGAATTATTGACTTCTTATTCCTTAATTTCAGGCAACTTTTAGAATACCTCACAGTTATTCCTATTCATCTCAATTGTACATATCTTTCCTCTAATTGTGAAGAACTGCTTACTGAACCAAACTGAGCCCTGATATAATCAGGAAGAACTAACTCAATTAATTTCAGGGTTCTTTTACAAAAGGGCTTATTTGAAACCATTGCTGGTGCAGATTTCAAGGCCCCTTACTTCCATTACAAAATTGTGGAAATGCTATTGTCTAATTTAGAGTGGGTAGGTATTCCGGGTGATACTTGAAACGTAATTTGAGATCAATCTGTCTTAAGTCTTGGAATCTTTTTTCCTGAAGACTTGTTACAGGAAGCTAATATCTACACCTACCTTGTTTACATAAGTAAATGTCAAATATGGACTCTTTTTTAACGCTTCAGAAAATTTGTGCTGGACGAGGAAATAATTTTTATAGAATACTGGTTGTATGTATTGTGAAAATAATCTTTTGAAGCTTTTGTCCAACAAACATGAATCTATTTCTCCTGATGTTTAACTGTTTTCTTACTACCTTTAGAAAATGTGGATGAATCTCTGTATCATATTTTTAGGGACAGCTGATAATTAAAAAAAAATAATTGTATGATTCTGTCCCAGAACACGTTAAACAATTTCTTCAGTATTTCTCTCTAAAATGGCTTTGGTTTAGATAATATTTCTGACTCCAACATTTAGTGAGCCAGTTCTGTTCTGTAATTTACAGCTCACGCTTAAAGGAAAACACAAGGTTTTCAGAACTTATTCTATACTATGTGTAAATAGTAAAGAAGTAGTGTCTGGCACTTAGATCAGACAACTGGATATGAAGACTCCTTGCCAGTTCTTATTTGCTTTACAATCTTGGACAACACTTACTTAGAGTTTAGTCATCTATCAAATGGAGATAGCAATATTTACTGAACTCAGAGGCATTGTGAGGCTTCATTAGTGCATGAGCATCATGTGAGGCACAGCTTAGAAGCCCGTTCCCCCCAGCACCATCTTCCCCTCAGCACCAGCGTGGGTGGGGGGAGGGAAAGCTGAGGTGTAGTGGGGGAACTTGACGTGAGTCGGGAATCAGCTGTCCCACCTCATGCCCTGTCCCCCGCACCCCATGCTGCGCCTCTGTTTTAAAAATGTATTAAGAGTTTGGCAGCTCTTAATACATTTCAAAGGCAGAGCCGCAACATCTGGGATCAGGCACAAGCCAGGACAGCTGATTTCCAACTCACACCTGGTCCCCCCACTGTGCCTCTGCCTTTTAAATGTATCATGAGCCTGGCAGCTCTTAATACATTTAAAAGGCAGAGCTGCCATGGGGTTAGCTCCTGGGGTCTTGAGCTAACCTGGCTGTGGCTCTGCAGTTTCCCCCCTTGTTGACTAATCGAGTAGTTGATGGAAATTCCATTGACTACTCGATTAGCTGATTAAACACAATTTAACATCCCTAGTTTGCACTGTATTATATTTCATAGTAAGTGACAATATTCTGGCTCAGAAAATGAGTCTCTTCCCTATAATCAATAGTTCCAATACATTCTCCAGTTATTGTATTTTTTGTCTGGGTGAAAGAGTGAAATCATCACTAAAAAGTGCATGAGTCTTCTCCAAAATGGCAAATACTCTTCCACTCCACCATGCTGGCCCAGTGTTTGGATGCAATCAGCTCAGTGTTGAAAAACAGCTGTTTAAAGCTGAAGCTGTGCAAGATGGAACAGACGGTATCACTATGCAAGTGTTCCGTCTCCTTTAGTTGGAGGAACACACCTGGAATCAGTTTAGTCTGTAGTTTAGGATTCCTCTCTGAGTCGTAAGTTCTCACAGTGTCATAAGCAAAGTTATCTATCATCTCTGGTTGCCTATGAGACTCCATTTCATCCAGACCAGATGATAAAACCCGCATGACTTCATCACCTGTTGGCCAGATTACAGAAATACAATATATCTGGGCACAAAGCTCTTGGACATAGAAAACTTCATATGGGTAGAGACACGTACATAGCTTTGCTTGAGGTAGTATTATAAAAAAATAGCACAGTAGTCTAGGGATGTAAGAGTTTAACTGATAAGCATCAGCTTTTCGGTTTCCAATATGGTTAATCTCTTCTGCCAGCATGTGCTGGCTCCCAGGGAGCCAGCTGCTATTCTGCGCTGCAGGTTCTCTGGGATTGGGTCTGGCAGCCAGGAGCCAGTGTGCTGCCTGGTAGCCATAGGGGCACTACTCTACCATCCTTCCCTCCCAGACAAAAATGATTAACTGTGTAACCACTAGGATTTTTAAGTTACACAGTTACTTTTTAGAAACCTTTTAAAAATCTCTTTTATGGTCACAGCGGCATAGACAACAGTTCCAGCTAGCTGCCCCTATTCAGTGTTATTTCATCCCCCACTCAATGGCTACGTCTAGACTGGCATGATTTTCCGTTAAAAGCATTTTTGGAATAGAGAATCTAGATTGGCACGGACGCTTTTCCGCAAAGAAGCCCCGATCGCCATTTTCGTGATCGGGGCTTTTTTGCAGAATACAAATCTGAGCTGTCTACACTGGCCCTTTTGCGCAAAAGTTTTGTGCAAAAGGACTTTTGCCCGAACGGGAGCAGCTTAGTATTTCCACAAGAACACTGACAATCTTACATGAGATCGTCAGTGCTTTTACGGAAATTCAAGTGGCCAGAGTAGACAGCTGGCAAGTTTTTCCGGAAAAGCGGCTGATTTTCTGGAAAAACTGGCCAGTCTAGACACAGCCAATAAGTATATGGACTGCTAATCCAATATGGATTGGCATATTGCTATTTTTAGGTCTACACAAGCAGCGAATCGCACTTCCCAGCTGGTGAGTAGATGTGCCCCCTAGTTTTTCCCTGGGAAGAAGATGAGAGAGAAAATCAACCACATGTGACAGATGCTAATCACATAATCTGATGCAGTTCTGGAAGATACTATGATGGTTCTGGTGCTACAAGAACCTTTATAGAACAAGAAAGCCTTCTACTCAGAATATCCTAAAAAGGTTAACCACTATACTAAATCAACTCATTTTTTCCCTCGTTATAAAGTTGTATTAAATTACATATTATCATTTAGGACTCTTCATTACTGAATTAACACTATAAAATTACTCCAATATGACCTCTGACAGTATTTAAATACTCATACCAAGAAACAATAGTTGGTTTTTAATCCATGTTTTTTCATTCATCTCCCCAAAAGCCAAATTATTGGCATGTACTGATTAAAAAGCTCCTTATACATTTGTATGTACTTAGTATAACATAGCTGAAGTCAGTTACACAACATCAAACTATCATCATGCCCACTACTAAATAAGATACTGAAAATCTTTGAAAGATAGCCAAAAAGGGTAAACAAAATAACTTAAATAAAATTAGTTCCCTTGGGGATATGTAACTTGACATTGTTGAGGTACATGTTCAAAAATTCACTGGGGCAAGCAATAAAAAGTTATATATAGAATTAATATACTCTACTTTTACTTAAAAAAAAACCCCTTGTTTCATTTATACCAATAAAAACTTATTTCTGTCGCTACAATCTTTTACCAAGGATTTTGTATCTGATTTCAGTAGGAGGAACTGATACAAAATATAAAGCAGTGGTCCCCAACGCGGTGCCCGCGGGTGCCATGGTGCCAGCCAGGGCATTTATGTGCTCCCGCCGAAACATCTGGGCTGGCCCTGCCCCTAGCGTGCGACACATGTGTGGTATCAGCCCCGGGCGCATGGGCGGCCCCTGCCCCGGGTGCACGGCACATGCGCAGTGCTGGCCCAGGGCGCGTGGGCAGCCCTAGGCACACAGCACATGTGCAGTGCCGGCCCCGGGTGCAGGGCGCATGAGTGGCCCCGCCCCTGGGTGCCCGGCAGCCACGAAAGGCTGGGAACCACTGATATATTGTATACGTACATTTTCTATATAAACAAGAAGTCATGTGGCACCTTAAAGACTAACAGATTTATTTGGACATAAGCTTTTATGGGCAAAAAATGACAAAGGAGGTTTTTGCCCACGAAATCTTATGCCCAAATACATTTTTCAAATGGATAGCCATGTTAGTGTGTAACTTTAAAAAAAAAAAAAAAAAAAAAAAAAACACCCCCCAAAAAAATATATATCATGAGCTTTCCTGGGCAAAACCCACTTCCTCAGATATGAGTGACTCATGATACTATATCTATATATAAAACTTCAGGGGGTCGTCTAGTTAGTTTGTACAGAAAAAAACAACAAATGATCTCGTAGCACTTTATAGACTAACAAAACATGTAGACGGTATTGTGCCCATGCTACCATCTACATGTTTTGTTAGTCTATAAAGTGCTACGAGATCATTTGTTTTTTTTATACATATATACGTTAGTGTCGAAGGTGCTACAGGACTATTTGTGGGGGGGAGGTTCCAAATAAATGTGTATTTAAAGTGCCATATGTAAGTGCCATTTTCAGTACCTGCGATTCATACTGGTAAAAAATCCAGTGTACAGTGATGCTGTGCATTGTTAACCAGCTGCCACCTGGGAGGAAGTGATACTGAGACCAGCCAAGCTAATTTAGGGCCCAGTCCCACAAACCTTATTCCTGCCTGTAGGCGTTGCTTGTGCAGTTCACGGATGGGACTGACTCGTGTAAGGGTCGCAGGAGCAACACGTCATCGCCTTAGGCGCAACAGGCTGCATTTCGCAAGGCAGCACCTTGGTTACACGCAGCTAAATGAAACCCACAGACCCTGGGGCTGCGCGCTAGGAGGCAGCCCCCTGTCCAGCTCCAAGGCCCCCGGAGGGAGGGCGCCCCTTCTTTCGCCAGTGCTCCCCGAAGGCCGCCCTTCCCCACACAGGGTAACCAAGCGCGGACCCTGGCCTCCTTGCCCCGCAGAGCCCCTTCTCCTCCCCCCGAAGCTGCTTACCAGGCTGACAGGTTGCGCCACGGAACCCGACCCACTGCGGACTGGGGGGCAAGGCGCCGATGGGACCGTGTGTACAGCACACAAGAAAGAACGCTCCCGATTGGCCATCCGGCGACGGAAGTGGGCATGTTTTCGTTGCCCGGAGCTGCCCCGCCTTTCCGGAAGTGGGTGTGGTTGGGTCGCCTTGCTGCCTTGGAGGCTAAGCGATGCCCCCCACCCTTCCGTCCTGAGGTGAGGCTGGTCCGCGTCTCCGGGGGAAGGGTTGCGAGTGAGCAAGGGGCTGGGAACTCGTGGGGTTAGGCTGGCCCAGAGTATCCAGGGGCCCGGAGGGGCTGCTAGTTGGGCCTGAGGGCAGAGTGGGGGTGGGAGGGGTCAGCTGAGGAGGGTGAGGAAGGGGTTGGATGGCGGGCTGGGGGCGGGTTCGCTATGGGATGTGAGTAGGGTGCTGTTTGGGGAGTTGGATGCATAGGGGACCTGCGGGCAGGGATGTGGAGATGTCAGCTGAGGGCTATAAGGGGCTCTTTGAAGGGCCCGGGTGCATAAGAGACTGAGGGTTGTGAATAGGGCTATTTGTAGGCTCTAGGTGCATAGGAGTCCCTGAGGATTATAGGAAGCTGGGAATGGGTTTGCTAAGCAATGGTCCTCGCTTGTTTCTCCAAAACAGTAGGTAAGATGAGGGTGTTATCGTTGAACCTGAATAGTAATAGAGAGGTAGCTGTGTTAGTCTGATCTTGCTAAAACAAAAGGAAAAACTATGTAGCACTTTAAAGACTAACAAGATGTTTTAATAGGTGATGAGCTTTTGTGGTCCAGACCCACTTCCTCAGATCATATTCTGGAAGAGAATTGGCATGACCATGTATACCAAAGGAATACAATGAAAAAAGTGAACATATTATTAAACTGACAAAACAGATTTAGTACAGAAGGTGGGGTGAAGGGGAGGGAGGAAATAGCTATTTGAGTCAATGAATGGCTAATCAGGGGTGTTAAGTGGGAAGCTATCTTTGTAATGCTTAAGGTCATTAGCATCTTTAAGGCCCATTCGTAAATTTAAGGATGAAAGAAAGTCCTGAAGTTTCCCTCTGTAATCTGGTGTTAAAGTCTCTTTGAAGTAAGATGCATGTAGTAAGGTCGCCTACTCTAGACTATGTCCAGGTAGGCTGAAATGAAAAGCAACAGAGTAAGAGACTGTTGCTTTGCCCTTGAGGAGGGATGGGTCTGCATGAGGGTTACAAATAAAACATTTGGGTGAACATTTGGGTCTTATGCAGATGTGGGAGATAGGGCAGCCCAAAAGGGTTGAGGGTGAGTGGTATGAATGGGGTTTGTGGAGGGAAGTAGATTAAGGTCTGTCTCTATTTTCGTATGCTGTTGGCTGTTTGCTGCTTGCTGCTGTCACTACAGTTGTGGTTATTTGGTGGTATTTGCTATTTCTTTACCAATTAGTGAAAAGAGGAAGCTAGATAAAAATGTATTTGCTTACACCCATTTGGAGGGGGTTAGTTTTCTTCTTTTCTCTTCTTCCAGCTTTCCCTTCTCTCAAATCAATATACTTCCCCTTCTTACTCCACGCCCATTGCTTTTTAGTTTTTAACTAGAAGATTTACCCAATGTTGCTTGGGTCCTTTACTCAATTTTATTTTTTCTTCATTTAAGTCATTGCTGTGGAGTGGGGTGGCGCTAGGCATGAGGGGTTCAGTATTCAGGTGGCCCAGGGAGAGAGGACTACCCCAACCCTCTCTCAGTGCAGCATCTTGGAGTCAGGTGTGAAGCACTTGTCCATGGCAACTGCAGCTCCAGCGGGCATAGCTGAGGGCTGAGTGCATGCCCCCTGGCTTGGGCAGGTCTAGACTCGTCTGTCTCCTGCGCTCCCCAGCCAGAGTGAGGACTGCAATAAACTGTACATTTTCCCTTTGCTCCCTAATGAAGGTTACAGCCAGCAATGTTTCCTTATAAATCAGGGTCGGGGAGCTTCAGGTTGTTGCTACACTAAGGCTGTTGCTACACTTCAAAGGTGGAATCACCCTATTGACTAACCAAATAGTCGATACAAAATGCATCAACTAGTTGATTAGTCAATTTTTAACATCCTTATAACAAAACCCTTACTAGGGATGTTAGAGTGTACACTACTAACCATTTAACTGATAAGTGGATACTTATCGAATAACGGTGTCAGTTACACTCAGCCTCTTGGAGAGGCTGCTTTGCTGTGTCAGTCCTGCTAGGGATGCTTTGCTGCGGGCTTTGCAGTACAGGCAGTCCCCGACTTACGCAGATCCGACTTACGTCGGATCCGCACTTACGAACGGAGCTTTCTCGCCCCGGAAGTCGGGGCGAGAAAGCCCCGTTCGTAAGCTGCTCCGGTGCCCCTGGTCTGCTGGAGACCGTCTCCAGCAGACCAGGGGCACCGGGCGGGTTCCCGCGCTTCTGAGGCTTTGCCAGCAGACCACAGGCACCCAGATTGAAGCGGCAGCAGCGGCGGTTCCCCGCGCCTCTGAGGCTTTGCTTGTGTGACTTCTTGCTGGCCAGAGTGGCAGCTGAAGTGTTTGTTGTGATAGAGGATGGACCCCAGACTTGGGCTGTAAGTAGCCTTATTTCTAAGCAATTCACCCTGATTTGGCCCTCTCAGTGGTGCTCCCAGACCCGGTTATATTACACATGTTCAGTGTAGGAAAGCATCCGAATGTTTTTGCACCAAACACCTCAGAAAGAAGTATTAGGCCAAACACCGGCAAAGGCTTTCTTAACACACTGACATTGACTTCAGTAGGATGCCTGATAGTACATCAGATTAAGCTAACAAATAAATCTTTGAAGGCTTTGGGTTTCGAGCTTCATATTCATCTTAGTGCATACACGTTTTAATTCAAAATGGGGGTCCTCGAGTTGCTAAAGTTCAAGAACTACTGCTCTAGGCTATAGAGGGTTCAAGAAGGTGTCTAATGGTGTCTGTGTTAGTGCCCCAGACATTTTAGGATAACTCAGCTGAAAAACAAAACCACCTTTACCTTCTTGCTTAGACAGGGCTATAGACAAGATGGAAATTCTTTGAATCTACACCAATGTCACTGGAAGGTTTGGGTCAATGGAGCTATGTAAAGTTTAACAGGATTCTCTCATTTTCTCTCCCAGTAGTTGTCCATCTTCCATTCCAAACACTATCCTGGCTGCAAGCAGGAGCAGCACCCCAGCTGCTCTGCCCCAGGCGTCCCCAAGTCAGCTTCTGCTGAAACTGACCAGCGCTGACTACAGGAAGCCCCAGGCAGAGTTGCTCTGCCCCGGGCTTCCTGGAATCAGCTGCTGATCAGTTTCAGCAGCAGCTGACTTGGGGACGCCTGGGGTTCTTAAGTTGATTCTGTATGTAAGTCAGAACTGGCGGTCAGTTTCAGCAGTGTCTGAATCTGGACGCCAGTTCCGACTTACATACAGATTCAACTTAAGAACAAACCTACAGTCCCTATCTTGTACGTAACCCGGGGACTGCCTGTATAAAGTTAAGCTTTATACTGCAGAGCCTTCCGTGCATTAACCTCTGAGATTTTCAACGGTTGCCTGGTTACCCTACTCCACAATTTTTAACATCCTTCAACCTTTACCTTGCTTTAAATTATGATAAAAGAAAGCTGGATACTGAATTTGGTGGTCCTAGTTCTTACCCTTTTGGAGGAATTCTTGAACAGACAACCTCTCAAATATATGGTAGATAATTTCCTACCTGGGATATTTTTAGTTACTTAAGTTATCACAATGTGCTAGTAACCTCTATTCAAAGCAGACCTCTGTTTTTGTGCCTAAACTATGTTTCAATCAACAAGCTGTCCAAGAACACAAGTGTTTTTTAATGATCCATAAGAACGGCCGCACTGGATCAGACCAAAGGTCCATCTAGCCCAGTATCCTGTCTTCCAAAAATGGCCAATTCCAGGTGCCCCAGGGGAGTGAACAGAACAGGTAATCATTAGTGATCACTCTCCTGTCATCCATTTCCAGCTTCTGACAAACTGGCTAGGGACACCATTCCTACCCATCCTGTCTAATAGCCATTGATGGACCTAACCTCCATGAATTTAGCTAGCTCTTTTTTGATCCAGATCACTCCTCTAAAAAGGTTGAGATAATTTAGAGTAGTGGGGGTTTGATTGGGAACACTGTAAGTTTTAAGGTTGATGGTTTCAGTAATGTTGTGTGGAAGCCTCAGGCTTCTTAGGTTTTCTCTTGATAGAATACGTAAAGGATGCATTCTGTTCTATATTGGAAGGACTGAGAATTTTAGTAATTGCTTCTTGGTTTCAGTCATGTTTCCATTTTGGTGTGCTGTAGCTGTTGAAGTTTTTTAGTCTATTGACAATTTTAAGGGAAAAGTTTTCCTATTGAGCCTTTTTCTGCCCAGTCTATCCAATCTGACACTGCTAGGGTCTCGACATATTTTTATTTTGGGTGTTCTCAGGCAAGACTATGTAAGTCACAGGTAGTTCATGAGTTGTCTCTTTAAAACCTCTTATCTAGGGCACATTGATCTTTATTGTAGTGTACAGTCCCTGTTTGTCAGGACACCTTTTGAATTCATTTGATACATATCTTCATATCAATAACAAGTGTTCCATCTTATAGGTGTGTGCTTTCCATGTGAAGATTTAAAATGGCTTCAAGAGGAGCAATAGAGACCAGTAAACTAAAACAGAACTTGGAAGAACAGCTGGACAGATTAATGCAGCAGCTGCAAGACTTGGAGGAGTGTAGGTATGTAAAGGCAGTATCTCCCTCTCAAACGTAATGCTGTACCTTTCAGTATTCCTGTCACTGTTCTTTGAGGCTGTGTGTTTAAATCAGCTTAGAATGATTGGATTAAGTAGTGCAGGACAAATTCAGATTAACTTTTTCTACTCTTTTCATGTTTTAAGAATGGCCACTAGAGTCAGTGGTGATTGGTGCCTGTGGGAGTGAAGGGGGTTGTGCAGGAAAGGCCACCCAGAGGGGTAGGGAGGTGTGTGGCGGCACCCCATTTAGCAATTAAAATTTTGGCGGAAGCATAAGGGAGTTGTGCACCTCCTGAGTGCTACCACAAGTCATCTATGAGTTCAGGAAAACTTGTTGATATTTTTGTGGAGATTGGAAATTCTTATGCAGAGCGTGATAGAAATGTAGCCGTGTTAGTCTGGTGTAGCTGAAACAAAATACAGGACTATGTAGCACTTTAAAGACCAACAAGATGGTTTATTAGATGATGAGCTTTCGTGGGCCAGACCCTCTTCCTCAGATCAAACAGTGGAAGAAAATTGTCACAACCATATATACCAAAGGATACAATTTAAAAAAAAGAACACATATGAAAAGGACAAATCAAATTTCAGGGGGGGGGGGGAGGTAAATGTCTGTGAGCTAATGGTATTAGAGGTGATAATTGGGGAAGCTATCTTTGTAATGGGTAAAATAGCTGGGGTCTTTGAGACGGACACTTTCAGCACATGATAGCATAAATTATATTTCTGGATGCGCAGGAATATGTATTCTTGATCTTATAACTCACTTGGTTAGGTCCAATAATGGAATCAGCAGAGTGAATATGTGGACAAAGCTAGCAACGGGGTTTGTGGCAAGGGAAGGTACCAGGGTTGGTATTAGTGTGGTATGTCCTGTGGTTGTTGGTAAGAATCATCTTGAGGTTAGGCGGTTGTCTATAGGAGACTATGGGTCTGTCTCCCAGAGCCTCTTGGAGTTTGGTATCCTGTTCCAGGATAGGCTGTAGTTTATTGATAATGTGTTGGACAGGTTTAAGTTGGGGGCTGTAGGTGATGACAAGTTGTGTTCTATTGTTGGTTTTCTTGGGTCTGTCTTGAAGTAGATGGTTTCTAGGTATTCGTCTGGCTCTTTCAATTTGCTTTTTTATTTCTCCGGGTGGGTAGTTGAGGTTTATAAACGTCTCAGACACTTCGCCAAAGGCTCAATGCCCACAAAACAGATATTAGACAGGATCACAAAGAAAAAACAGTTTCTTGCCATTTCAACCAGAAAGGACACTGTCTCAACGACTTAATTACCTGCATCCTGCTTCAGAAGCCTTTTAAATCTGCACTTGAAAGGGAATCCTCTGAACTGTCATTCATGCTAAAATTTGACACTCTACGCGTGGGTCTCAACAAAGACCCAAGCTATCTTACCCATTACAAAGATAGCTTCCCCAATTATCACCTCTAATACCATTAGCTCACAGACCTTTACCTTTCCCCTCCCCCCCTGCATTCCGCTTCTGTTCTGAAATTTGATATGTCTTTTTCATATGTGTTCGTTTTTTTAATTGTATCCTTTGGTATATATGGTTGTGACTATTTTCTTCCACTATTTGATCTGAGGAAGTGGGTCTGGCCCATGAAAGCTCATCATCTAATAAACCATCTTGTTAGTCTTTAAAGTGCTACATAGTCCTGTATTTTGTTTATGCAGAGTGTGACTTTGTACTATTTTAGTGAACAATGGAATCACTGCCTGTTCATAGAATTAAAAATCCATTGTTCGCTATCTTTTACAAAAATGCTGATCTTGATATTTGTCCCTATTTTTCATTATAATTTTGCTTTGTATGTTGCTTTGAAAACACAAATAGATCAAGCAATGTCCTTGAATATTAACTTTTAAGGCTGTGTTTTTCAAACTGTAGGTCCCGACCCCCCCCCCCCAGAAGATGGTGAGCAACTTAAGAGGGGGGTTGCGGTATCACAAAGTTTGAGAACCCCTGTCTTAAGGGATTAATAAAAAACAGACATCAAGAACAGGAACATTCAAAAATGTGTAGGAGAGCACTGCATCCTCCCTGGACACTCAGTAAGAGACCTGAAAGTTGCCATACTTGATGATAAAAAAACCTTCAAAAATAAACTTCATCATGAAACTGCAGAGCTGAAATTCATATGCAAACTTGACACTATCATACTGAGTCTAAAGAGAGACTTGGAATGTCTAGCTCACTAAAAAAAGTAATTTTCCCCCTTTTGGTTTTCACATCTACTTGTCAACAGTTGGGAATGAGGCTGGACCACATCTACCCTGATTTAATTGGCCCTGTTAACTCTTGTTCTCAGCATGGTAATGTAACAGTATGTATATATTAAGAATGTGAAGGACTAGTCAACTATCTGATACGCGAATGCTTACCAGATAGTCCAGTCGACTAGTTGCTTCCCTGCCTATCAGATACAGGCAGCTAGGGGAAGTGGGAGGAGGCGGAGAAGGGGTAATTCAAAGTGGCAGTGCCTCACTGGGCCTGCGATATGGGCTCCATGTGGCACTGCCACTTTGAAACATCATGACGGCATTTCAAAGGGGCAGCACCTCACAGCTGATCCCAGGCTTCCAGCGGCACTGCCACTTTGAAACGCTGCCACAGCGTTTCAAAGCAGCAGTGCCACATGGAGCTCAGGGTCAGCTGGGGACTCCCTAGCAGATCCTGGGCCCTGTGCAGCATTTCCGCATGGACTCTGAGTACACTGCTGACCCCAACCCACATGCAGGTGTTTCTGCTTTGAAATGAACAAGAGTACCTGCTGGGGACTCTTGTACATTTCAAAGCTGGCATGCCGCAGCCGGGGGCCAGTGGGAAGTCATGCTGGATCCGGGCTGCAGGAGGAGAGTTCCAACTTGGAAATTCACAAGCCACTGGGGCTCTTGTACATTTCAAAGGAGGAATGCAGAAGTGCCTATCGAGTAGTCGATGGAAATTCCATCGACTACTCGACTAGTAAATTAATCAGTATTTAACATCTTTAGTATATATCTCTGTCAAACTGAAGTTTCCACATCGTGCATCTGACTAAGTGAGTTCCAGTCCATGAAAACTTATGCCCAGATAATATTGTTAGATTTCAAGGTGCCACAGGACTCCTTGTTTTTGATAAAACAGAGTTGGAAAACACTTCTAGCCCATTTCCATGCTACTGCAGAAATGTTTACACAAAGAATTTTCTGATGTCTTTGTCCAACTTAGTTTTAAAAGTTTCTGGCAATAGGATTTTGCCACTTTTCCTTCAGGAACCAATGCATAGCTAATATAGCTCCCTGTTAGAAGGTTTCTTCTGTTTAAATTTTCCTTTTCTTAATTTCATCTCATTGCTCTTAAAGTAGTCTCCAACCTTTGTATATAATTGGGCAAATGTTGGGGTTAGAAATACAACTGTTTTGGGAAAGAGAAACTATAAATTATGTCTTTCTATCATCTAGAATTCCCAGCTGAGATTGTGGCTTATTGTGTTAGGCATTGCACATGCACATAGTAAGAGAGTCCCTTCTCCAAACTGCTTTTAATTTAAATGGACAAATGATGGGAAAAAGGAACAATTATTATAAATAAACTATAATTGTAAACAAACTGGTTCTTTGAGGAAGCCATTTCGTGTTCATTGATTAAATAAACCTCTAGTGTGATTGAGCTTCAGGTATGTTTTAGAAAAGTAGTTCCCACTGGAAGAGTGTAAAGGTTCCTTCATGGTACTGAGGTTCAAAGGCTCAGCTCTTTCCTTACCATGACTAGATGTGGTTGTGGGGACTTTTATTCCACATACAGGTATTATTTTACTTTTAATTTTACTCTGTATTATCTCATTTAGAACAGTGTTAAAGTTAAAACATTTTTCTTGTGGTAAGTGAAGAAATCGTAGTTTTTCAAATGTTGAAACTCCTTTGTGATCAAAAGGCTAGAACCTTGTAGGGCCACCCTTGAGAGAGTGAAATGTTGGACAATCATTCTCCTATTTCTTTCTCTTCTGGTAGCAAATGTTTCATCAACTACACTGAGTACTAATGGATGATAGCAATAGTTTTTATTCTTAAACTACCTAATGGACTAGAAGCTAGACAAAAATCCTGGTACAAGTTAGTGTAAGTACTGCCTGTGCTTCAGTGATATTTTATTAATAGATAAATGTCTTTCTGAGTTTAATCCTTTGAGTTATTGTGGTTTGTTGAATCTCCTTTAGAGAGGAACTGGATGCAGATGAGTATGAAGAAACCAAAAAAGAAACTCTAGAACAGTTAAGTGAGTTCAATGACTCACTAAAGAAGATCATGTCTGGAAATATGACTTTGATAGATGAACTCAGTGGGATGCAGCTGGTAAGGATGATTCATACTTGGAGGTCTACTCTGTGGTAGGCGCTAAAGATAGCATGTCATACCTATAGTTTGATTCACTCACTTGAACCCCAATCCAGCCACCTCATCACCTAGCTCCTCTCCAGACCCCCCACTCCTTCAGTCACCTGTTCCTGCTTAGCTCCCTCACAACCCCAATATAGACCCCTATTCCCTAGCTCCTTTCCATCCTCCTCACCTTCCAGCTCCTGTCAAGCTCCACCATAGCCCCAACCCAGCTCTTCTGTCCCAGCTTCTTCCTAGCTTTACTGATTTAAATGTCGTTTCAGGGTGAGGGGGAGAAAATAACTTCACATTGAAATGCTAAGTTAATTATGCAGATAACATCAGCATTACAGAAAAAGAAGAGACACTTCTACTATGACTCCTAATTCCTAATAGATTAAATAATAAAGCAAAACAGCCCAAAAGTGAAGGATAAATGTTTACAACGGGTAGTGATTTTTTTCCCCCATCCCCAGTGCATGGTTTGGAAACACAGGGATCTGAACGAGCTGAAAAACATTTCTGAAAAAGGTGTTTTTAAGTGGAAATTTTTTCTTTTATTCGCTTCCTGCCATGATCATTATAGCAGCAGGTCAAGAGCCCCTTCACCCTGGTTTCTTCTGCTTGACACCCACTTTCTGTCTTAATTCTGTAGAAGGTGTAAATACCTAGCAAACCTGACAACAGTTTGGCTAAGGTGCAAGCTACAGGCTATCTTACCACCATCTTAGCAGCCTAGACCCCTCTAATCTTTAACAGACTGGTAGTTCTGTCTCCACTAGCCCCAGAGCCATATTCCCCTTAAGGCCCCACTGCCCTGATGTGCTCTGTTGTGTAGCACTTCCTCTTCCCCTTTGTCCATTAATGGCACCCAGTGCTCTGCTCCCCCAGTTCTTCCAGTCCCTATAGCCTTGGCCTGTACTGCTGTTCTTCCAGCCCCCTCATATATTACCTCAGTCTTGCTGCCCTCACTATCCCCCTGTCTACCACTGTATTTGCTCATGTCAGCACCTCTCACGCTCCACTCTTGATTGCCCTCACCTGCTTGTTTCCAGGCATAGGTGCTCTGGTCTGTCAACATAAACCACTCCCAATAAGTATGTTATCAGGAAAAGCTTTCCTGCAAACAGAGTGCTGTGCGTTCGACCACTTACTCTGGTGAAAAGTATGTTGCTCAGCAGAGTGTGTTTTTCACACCCCTGAGTGACGTACATTTTGCCAACATAAGTGATGATGTAGGCGTGACCAGAGTGCGTCTTACCAACTGAGGCAGAGGGTACTGTTCAGCATTTGTAAATCTGGTGTACTGTGACCATATTTCATGCTTGCTGTTAGGTGTACTCATTCTTTTAGCATGTTGTTTTTCTTCCAGGCCATACAAGCAGCCATCAGCCAGGCTTTTAAAACTCCAGAAGTCATTAGAATGTTTGCAAAAAAACAGCCAGGACAGTTACGGACAAGATTGGCAGAGGTAAATATTTCTGTGGATAGAATCTAATTCTAATAGATGTATTTCATCTGGTCTGATGTTTGTCCTTCCAATCTCTACAAATTAAAGGTCAGTGTAAATTTCATGGCAGAGGGATCCTCTGATGCTTTTCACAATCTGTTAAGCCCTTGAGGGCGGGGGGCTGGACTTGATGACCTCTCGAGGTCCCTTCCAGTCCTATGATTCTATGAAATAGCTATCTCATTGTTAGACACCCCCATCCCCTCCATGGCATCTGAAAATGTCACTTGTTTTCCCTCCTTTTTTGCTCACTTTCCTAATATATTGAAAACAAAATCTGGTAACCAATAGTAAGGTGAGCACCAGAAATACTTCCATGATCACCAATATATATTCAGAAGAAGAGACATCCTAAAACTCATATTGAGGGACTGGATGATGCACCAGCTTTGCATCTCCAGAGATTTGGGTTCAAGTTCTGAATAGAACACAGGAGAAATGAAGTGTTGTGCCTTATCCTAGTGGATGCTGGTCCTCATAATATTATCACACAACTCGACATAAATAGCAGCCTCTGTTCAGAAGGGGTCTAAGATTTGAACAGCCCAGCATGCTGAAGTTAGGATAAAAAGCCAGTAGTGGAGTTGTATGGAAGTTCTTTCACAGCTTTTCACCACAGCACACCTCTGTTAGGCCCTCATTTTCACAATTGTCTTATTCATTCACAGAGGTTTTTTCAAAGGGATCTAAGCGTGGGCTCTTAGGGTGCTCAGCTTATTAATTTTCTACTAGCTTCGTGTGAGTTTTTTCACATTTGAAAAGAAGTTTGTTCTTGTTCAGATGGACCGAGATCTGATGGTTGGGAAACTGGGACGGGACCTATACACGCAGCAGAAGGGGGAAATCCTAACTGCCCTCAGGAAGCTTGGAGAGAAGGTAATAGTATGAGCACTGATATCTGTCATGCATTGAGCTATGATTATGATGGTCCCTTCTTATCTTAAATCTGGGGGAAGGGAATTGAATTGCTAAACACTTGTATTTTGTTTTTGTGTGCATGAAATTATATACAGTAATTCCTCACTTAACACATGCCCGCTTAACAGGTTTTCGCAATAGCACGATTTTTTTTGGGGGGGGAACATTTTTCAAACAACACAACCCCGTCCCCACAATAACATGATTTCCCCTAGGGCTGGCCGGTAGCCAGCAGCTGCGCGAGGCTTCCCCTGCCTCCCTGTAAAGTGGTGGAGGTTTGTCACTCACAGCGCCGTTCCCTGGTGACCTCCTCTGGCCGGAAGCAAGGCATCTGGCCAAAGGAGGTCACCGGGGAACTGCATGGCGAGCGGCAAACCTCCATCACTTTGTAAGGAGGCAGAGGAAGCCCCACGCAGCTGTCGGTGACTGGCCAGCTGGGGAAACCCAGCCACCGGCTACAAGTCTCCTCCCCTGTTCTTCCTTTCCATTCTCCAGAGCCAAACACCTCCCCTCCCTGCTGTAACTCGGTTCCCTTTCTCCCCCAACCTTATGTCCCGGTTCCAGCTGCTAACAAGTGCATGCTGGAGCTGCGAGTGCACATGCACTTGAAACGCAACCCCCACCTTTTCCATTATTTTCAATGGGAAAATTGACCCCGCATAACACGTTTTCACTTAGCACTATCATTTTCTGAAATGTATCTACTGTGTTAAATAAGGAATTACATAATATAATTGCATTTATAGTAATAGAAAATCAGGCCTCTAGTCAGAAGCATCTCCTATGACTTTCATTTACACTACGAGCTAGGGGATGTTGATTCCCTGCTTCTTTATATACATATTAGCAAGAGCATAAATTGCAGTGTAGCTGCAGTAGCACAGCCAGTGGCAGTAGAAATACAGTGAGCTGTGCCAAATGCATACCTTTCTGAAATGCAGCTGTGCGTCCACTGCCTGTTCCACCATGGCTACACTGTTCATACTAGTGCTAGCTTGATGAGAGCAGGAGTGTCAGACTCTTAGCTCATAGTTTAGATATACCCTGAATTTCAGTGCTACCCAGCTTCCCTAAAGAGCATGGCATAGAGAGCATTAAGCATTTGTATAGACCCTTTCATGAATGGTTGATCCCTACCTTAAAGTGGGATTATCATCTGGGTTCATAACACATAACTGGCATCATTTGGAACCTGCTTAAACCAATCTGCAATACTATTCTCTCTAACTACTCAACCATGGAAAGAAAATATCAAAGGCTTCCAATACAGTGTCTTACCTCAACCCTGAAAGGTGGGTATTATCCCTTCTATGCAGGTGAGTAAGCTGAATTAGGGACATTAGGTGATATGCTGCATGTATAGAACTACTAGGAGTAAAACCCAGAAGCCCTGACTCTTAATTCCTGTCTCTAACCACTAGAGGGATAATTGGAGCAGTTATATTTGCCTATTGACAGTCTGTGAAAGAAATGGTCCCCATGTATGTCAGCTTTAAAAAGGAAGCCATTTCCATTGAGAAGGATGTCTGAGGTTGTGATGTCAGGTTCACATTTGCTTTCCAATATCTTGGTATGAGTGTTGCTGCTGAGTTACTTGAATAGTGTCCCATTAGTAGTTTTATTTTGATAGTGCCTACGGTTTGGATATTTCATGTGAAAGATATGACTTGTGTTCGTTATGGTGTGAGAAAAGCTGCACAATCCTTTGTCAGCTGTTTTTATGTGTACATCTACCATACTGCCTACCCATGTTTATACGAATAGAGTCTAAGAAAACATAGTCAGCTGTCATTTACTATCTTAGACATTCCCAGTAGACATATGCAGTAGAACATTGTTCCAGATACAGAAACTGGGAGGGATTAATCAGTTACATACTAAATTCAGGTAGGGAGATTATCAGGCTATGTCTAGACTACGTTTTTTTTCTGAAAGCAGATATGCAAATTTGGCACTAATTTGCATATCTTCTTCCGATTGCTTTTTCGAAAATGAAAGTAGTCTGGATGCAGGTTTTTTTGGGGGAAGAAAAAAACCTTATAAAAAAAAAAAACCACTCTTCCCAAAAAAGGTGGTTTACGCAGTTTTTTGAAAAAGGATTTTTTTTTTCCAGAAAAAAAACACGTCTTTCACTTTTAGCACCAAATTTGCATATCTTCTTTCAAAAAAAATACATAGTCTACGAAGCCAAAGTGTGCTGAACATATGGCTAATTTTCACAAGTGCTAGCCATATATTGCAGTACCATATTTTGTGTGGTTCAGATCATGCTGAGTTGGCTCCAAGAGGCTAATTAGTTATACTATTGAATTAAGTTATGTTTTAAACTGGTTTTGAAGGAGAAACACACTACTTAAACTGGGATTTGGGTGGTTGAGGAAGAATGAAGGAGGGCATGATTTTCAAATACAGTAAACTTCCGATAATCCGGCACCTTTAGTACCCAGGGGGTGCTGGATTATCAGATATGCCGGACTATTGGAAGAGGGGGCTATGAGGGGTCTGGGGTGGAGTGGGGGGGGATGCGCCCCTCGGCGCTGCGGGATCAACCCGGCAGCACTCCAGCTGCTCTGCCCCAGGCAACCCCAAGTCAGCCGGTGCTGAAACTGACCAGCGGCTGACTCCAGGAAGCCTGGGGCAGAGCAGCTCCAATTGTCCGGCTGCCCGGAGCACTTCCGGGTTCCAGATGGTGCCGGACCATCAGGGATGCAGGACCACTGGAGTTTTACTGTACTATCATTTTAAAAAGCATGTATTTGCAATGTAAGTATATCCATTCTCTCTGTTAATGTAGGATGTTGTGTAGAAATGTAGGATGTCATGTAGAAATGTATTTCAGTACATCTTGAAGAGTACAGCACTTTCTATGAGAGGTTGTGAAGCATAACATATTGAATAGGAAGACAAGGGCCTGGAACTCTTGGGTTCTAATCCCAACTGATACCATGTATTTTGAGCATGATGTTTCACCTGTTGTTTGTTTGCAAAATTTAGATTAATTTACCTCACAGAGTTGTGAGGATTCATTTGATGTCTGTACAGTACTTTGCAGTGTTAAAGTGCTGTGTAAGAGATAAAGATCATGCAGATCTGTTCCATTAAAACAGTCCTCTAAATTATTTGCATTGAAACAGGTTGCTAAATGTGTAGTCATGCACCAGGCCTAAATATGTAATTATTTATAATTTTTCACTGGTTTTCCAGTTATTTTATAATGTTGACCTGTCTTATCTGACAGCTATAGTATAACTTACATTTTAAAGAATTAAAGCTCGGAGAGCAGTCTGTAACGTTTAAAGGGACTCATGCTCTCTATAATTCTAATGTGTATTCAGTTATTTACTTCTCCTAAATAATTATTTTACAAGTGTCCAATTTTTGCCATTGGCACAGTGCAGTAAACTAGCCATGTCAGTATGAAAGCAATACCGTTTTTGTCTTTTGAAAGCTTCCCTCCCCCACTCCCTGCCCCAATAGAATATTTCCAGACTAGCATAGTTATAAGAGCTCATTTTCTAGGTGAACGCTTCCACTCCATAGGTAGCCAGGCCCAGGGGGTGCTTCAGAGACTGGACACCCAAATCCTATATAGTTCTTCTCTTCCAGGATAATTGGGTCCTTGAAGACAGTGGGTGTGAGGTGACAAAACAGGGAGGATACTCAGGGCTCCTAAAGGAATGCAGCAGACATCACCCTCAGGAATTTGCTATATTTTTGACACCAAGAGCTTGGAAGGCTTGTATCAGACACACCAGTTTCTGTCATGCTTTAATAATCAGAATACAGTCTTGGTGGGTTGCTAAATAGTAAGTTTATCTTACCTCTGAATTTCCTAGCTTTTCCAACTTTGTGATACTAGTTTATTACTGTATATATTTAAATGGCACTTGTCACAACGTACTGGAGTGTCATCCAGTAAAAACTAAAATATATGTGCACATGATCAGATGGTTCATAGAGTTAACAGTCTGTTTCATTATAATTTTAAGCCACTGCCTTTGTTGTTCTGTGACCTGTGTGAAATAAGTTTGGACTGATGTTCATTTCCTTATGGCTAAGTGTCCAAATCGCAAACACACCATTGTGGCTGGCATCCTTGTTGATAGCCTCAGTATAAAGATGAAGGATGACCTCCTCTCTTAAAAGCAGTCTCTGCAGTTTGGCATTGAGATTCATTGATACAATTGGCTGAAGCTTGTGCCCTCCCTTTCTTCTGATTGACAGTCTTAGACAGAATTTTTGTCTCCATTTGACACTTTTCACCAGCACCTAATTTACATTCATACCAGTCAGATAATGCCATTGCTTTAAAAGCATGTCAGATTCACAGGTCCTACAGATTGAAATATTTCATATATACACAAATATATATCCTTATACAGTGAACAAAAATCAGTTAAGGTGTCCAGTTCATATGTGTGGGTTTTTTGTTTTTGTTTTTGTTTAGCTGACTCCAGATGATGAGACCTTCCTGTCAGCAAATGCAGGTGCAGCTCTTAGCCAGTTTGAGAGAGTTTCTAGTGACCTAGGTAAGTTTCTTCATATGCCTAATGTCAAAGCTCCTCAGCCTCCCTGTGCACTAGTGGAAAGAAATTTCTATATGAATCCTGATCTAAAAGGGAAAATCTGAACAAAGAAATCCATGCTACTTAAAAATATGTCTTTGTATAGTGCTGGTAAAATTCAGATATACTGCTGTGTGGAAAAATAAGAACTCTGTGGAAGAAAACTAATGTGAACTAAACCATTAAGTGTCCTACGTAATGGGGAGGCTTTGAGAACTGTGTCTAGTAAATAGAAACTACATTTTTAGAATTGAACATGATTTTTGCTTTAACTCCTTGTCTTCTTCCAGCACCTCTGGGTGGGGGGAAGATTTTCGCATCTTGGCCAGGGGAGCTCAGCAATTTCTTGCCATATCAACCAATGGTATTATAGTGAAACGCATCTTCTCCAACCACTCATAACCAGACTCCCCTGCCAAAGTGGCAAGATGGAATGTGCTTTCAGTATGCAACTAATTACACACATCAATACATTCCAGATTCAATGGGGTCAGATTTTGTTTGGTTGCTTCTCAAATCATAGAGAAAGCAGCGCTTATTGTAAGCCTCTGTTCTGACTACTCCTTTGCGACATGCATGCTTCCAGTGAAGCAGGAGTAATCATTGAGGGATAGGCATGTGAAGGACCAGGCTAGTGTGTGAACTTGCTGAACCCGAGGCCTTACTCTGGAATGCATCTTTTCATGGCTCTAGCTTAAAGGTCCTGGGAAGTTTGGCTCTCTGGAGCCCTCCAAATCTGTAGTTATCCACTTTATATGTGTTGGTATCCACAACTGCAGATGTGGATACAGATATCTGTGGCTCACTTTTGCCGATATGAATGCAGATACAAATTTTGTATTCAGAAACCTGCAAATTTGTGGATATCCCCTTTATATCCATGGGTATCTGCATCTGCCAATGTCAGTGTGAATATCTGTGGCTCATTTTTGTGGTGACAGTTGCGGATGTAGATACAAATTTTGTATCCATGCAGGGCTCTATGAATCTCGTTAGGTTTAGAAAAGGTTAGACTTGGGTGGATGCCATTAGCCTTATAGCTCCTTTTCTGACCGCAGCTTTTCAGACATGCATGTAATATAGCTGAAGCCAAAATTTGGCCCCATTTAAAAAAAAGTTATACCTGAAATGTTTTTGCTTTCAGATTATAGGCTGGTCTTCTTTCCCCAATGTTTTCTTTGATTTAGGGTATCAGAAATGAACCCCTCCAAAACACAGTCACTGTTAATAACTTACTGTTTCTCTAAACTGGGATGACAGGTTTTTAATTCTGTTTTCCTTCCATAGGCTCTGGAGACAAAGTCTTTGCTCTGGCCAGTTTTGAAGTAGAAAAATCAAAGCAATGAAGATTTGTGTGGGGCTAGATCTTCTCCTGTGGTTATCAACATTGGACTTCTATCATTGTATATTGTAGCTGGGTTTTTTGCTCATGAGATTTTTTGTGTAAACTGTTGTTGGGGTGGATGGAAGGGGACTTCAGTCTTAGTCACAAGACATCATAAAGTGAACAGTTTTCAAGTGCACTTTGGGACCTCAGTGTCTCTATCCTATAGCAGTGTATGCTGTGAGGCTAAACACTAAGTGGTACTGTACTTCAAAAACCATAAAATCAAACTGATTATGATTGTCTTCTTTGAAAGGAATCAACTATTTTCCACTTTTCTGAACATTTATTTCTCTAACTATTAAAATGTCATCTTTTTCAGTGTGATGGCAGTGAGTACATCTTTTCAGAAATACATTCAGAGTCCCAGCAAATGAGTCAGTTTTCCAGGTTCTTCCATAGCTTGCTTGGAAAATACAGTCTTGTCTGGAGTTAGTCCCTGTTGAATAGCTTAAGCATAAAAACACATTGCAAATTTGTTTAAAAAGACTGTTTGTAGAAAGACAGGATTTCTGACAAACTGTTCCCAAAAAAACCAAAATGAGACTACACAAACCAACAGTCACTGCCTGCATGTTTGCTCTGGATATGAATGAATGCCATTGTATCTCTGAGTGTTGATTGGCAAACAATGGAAGCCCTGTTGGGAGTCTTCTGGAGTAATTTAACCTCCTGTATTGAAAAGACAGGGAAGCACTGGGAAATGGCAGTGAGAGGTCCGCTCTGTGACCTCTTGCTGTTGCACAGGATGTATTGACTACAAGCTACCATTATTTCCCCAGATTTCTGGGGCAGCATGAAATAGGTTATAAGTAGCATCCCATCATAATCCTGATCTATGCTATAACTGAATCAGAAGCCTCAGTTGCAATGCTGCTGTCTTGTGACCTGCTTACCGCATCATTGAAAGCTATTGTGTAAATGAAGACTGTATGGCCAGGATTAGGTTAGAATCCTGGACCAATTCAGAGTTCAGGTGGAGCTAAACTTCATACTGTCCAGGGTATTTTAACTTGGTTCTGGAAGACAATTCAGTCCTGTGCTCACTACAGCTTTTTACTGTGTGGTAATCAGACCTCTAACTCAGTTGGTATAATAGTAAATAGGGCTTACAGTGTTTGCTTATGTTGAGGGTAGTGGTTGCTTCTCAGTCCAAATGGAAGAGCTGTGCTTGGTGATATAGATGTGTGTTTCCATTCATTACTCTTGTAACTGTAAAATTTCTGTGCACACTTGTTCTGTACATTTAACAGGGGGGATCATTCAAACATTTACAATACAGGCAGTATTACTTTCTACCTCCATATCTGTAAATATTTCATGCTGAATCAGCAGG